AAAGGTATTTAAAAAAAAAAAACAACTAGCATTTCCTTTTGGGCACTGTTTCACCACAATGAATCAGTAAAATGTAGGTTGCTATGCATCCCTTTTTATAGTAACAGGAAGGACGTTGTGTTCCCAAGGTAACCCACGACTTCGCTCATCAATACGCACCGAGTGCTTTCATCAAGCAGTATCAATCTTCTGAGGTTTATACACTGGATTTCTCTGCTACGCACAGGGCTTGAGGGTTCTAAGCACACCATACACAGCCGAGATGGCCACCAAATGTAAGAAAGATAGAAAAAGAGCAGGCATCGGGGTAAAATACTTTCTGATGTTTTTCTCCAGGTGATCATTCAAGCTGATAACTGAGGCTTTTTGGTTCCATTCTCTCTAAGACTTTCATGCTATACAGAGAGCTGTCCGTGGAGAATCTAAAAGCAGAAGGCATCATAATAGAGGGGGCCTGAGGCTCACGTGGCCTGTCCTTCCTTGGAGCCTTCTCCCCACTGGCCTTTCCCTGCCCTGCCCGTCTCACTGCTGAGGCCCACCCTGCACCCAGTCCTTGTCCTCTAGCTGCTCCTGGTCTCCACCCCACATGGAAGCCCTGTTCCCCCCACTTCAGCTACATGGTGAATGACTAATCCACATGAAAATCAATGAGGATTTGACCTGGAGTAGAATGGAAAGGAAAGGAAGAATCCTACCTGACAGCAGACACTATGCAAATGGGCAACTGAACGGAGGTGAGGAGGAGTCAAAGGAGACCTAAGGTTTTGGAGCCTGGGTAGCTGGGAAAAGAGCGGTGCACCATTTGCAAAAATAGGGAAGTAGCCTTGGGAGACCTGGGGAAAAGGTGATGAGCTAATTTAGTGGTTAAGGAATTTGGGGAGCCTGGAAAATAGTTAAATGGGAGATGTCTCCAATAGCCAGTTTAGTAGTAATGATAATAACATTGACAGTTCTGAATGTTTAATAGTATGTTGTTATTGTTGTTAGATGCCACTGAGTTGCTTCCGACTCATAGCAACCCTATGTACAACAGAACGAAACACTGACTGGTCCTGCGCCATCCTCACAATCATTGCTATGTTTGAACCCACTGTTGTGGCCACTGTTGTCAATCCATCTTGTTGAGGGTCTGCCTCTTTTTCTCTGACCCGCTAGTCTACTTTACAATACAAAGTCATTTAATTCTCCCAACAAATCCATGAGGTAAGTACTGCGATTGTCCCCATTTTACAGATAGGAAAACTGAAGGGTTAAGACACTGTCCTGAGGTCACACAACTGATAAATGGCAGATAGGAGACTCAAACTCAGGCAGTCTGACTCTAGAACTACAGATGAGGGGGGGTAGGTGAGAGTTGCCTAGAGGTGAAAGACAAGGTTTTCCCTTAAAGGTATTGATCTCAGAGGAGAATATACTCCATATTCACAACAGAAACCTCCAACAACACATAGTCAACTCTGGGCTTCTAACTCATTTAAGGAAAGAACTTTTAGAAGCTGCCTTGGACAGTAAAACTTCACAAATTTAGCCCTTCTGGAATCCTGGTAGAATCTTGGTGGCACAGAGGTTAAGAGCTTGGCTGATAACCAAAGGGTCGGCAGTTTGAATCCCTCAGTCGCTCCTTCGAAACCCTATGGGGCAGTTCTACCCTGTCCTACAGGGTTGCTATGAGTCTGAATCAATTCGACAGCAACGGGTTTGAGGTTTTTTTCTGGATTTTCAGAAACTACAGTATTTCAGATACACATGACTATTGCTGAGCAAAATACATACAATCATTTCTCCTCTCTGCAAACTGTCATGGTCTAAATCACAACCAACAGCAAGTCCAGCCACAAAAAAATTTAGAAAAATCAACTAAAGGGTTTAAAGAAGTCAAGGTGCTTTAACTTATGAATTCAGCAACTTATTTCTACATGTTGCGGTTCTTAAAAGTATATGATGCATTATTATCTGACAGAAGTATACTAAAAATAATTTGCTGTTACATTACTATTTTCCCATGTAGTTCTGTGCTGAAAAGTCACATCACAGGGCTCTTGGCACAACGAGGAACCACTTTTAGCTGAGTCTGGGCACTGCTGCACAGGGCTGGTCCAACTCCAGTCTGGGAATCTTTGCAAACTGTGGGGAGCTACCAGCATTTTCAATAAATAGTGTAGCAATGACTGTAAAGGGGCACAAGGGATGATGGAAGTGTTCTAAAGCTTGATTGTGGAGGCAGCTGCATGTCTATCTAAACCCAAACTGTTCACTTGAGATGGTGTGTACTTTATGGTATGTAAACGACTCCTCAATAAACCGTAATAGGAAGAAAGGAAGGGAAGGAGAGAGGGACACAGTAGAAGACAGAAAACGAAAAAGAACAGAAAAGCAAGCACAAATATATTAAGGGTAAAGCACTGTTGTGTAGAAACGTGTTTCAGCTACATAGATACGTACATTATAACATGCATTTCTAATTGTGGAGTTATTCATGATCCAAAAAGTCCAAAAGCCACTGCTTGAGGGGATGACAACCAGGGCAGTGCTTTTCAAAGGCTAACTTGCTAACTTGATAGGAATTCCTGGGAATCTTGTTAAGATGCAGATGCTCATTCAGTCTGCCTGGGGCTTGGCCTGAGATTCTGCATTCCTAACAAACTTTTATTGAGTTGACACTGCTGGTGTGTGAAAACCACTTTGACTAGCAAGGAAGTATGGTACAAATTGAGACTGAGTTGTCAAAAATGCACAGGCTTAAGACTGTTACTGCTGGAAGGGTCCTTAGAAAAATCTAGCCCCGTGTTTCCCAAACTAACATGGTCGTGAGAAACTTCTAGGCGTACTTATTAAAAATACCATTTCCATAATCAAGACAGTGTGGTATTGGCAAAAGGAGAGACACTAGATCAACAGAACAGAATGGAGAGTCCAAAAACAGACCCACACATATAAGAGCAACTGAATATTCAACTAAGTTGTCAATGGTGCTGGAACAACTGGATATCCGTATCCAAAAAAAAAATGCACCTCGATCCATACTCGTACCACATACAAAAATTACTCCAAATGGACCTAAATGTAAAATCTAAAAGTATAAAACTTCTAGAAGAAAATACAGGAGACTATCTTTACTACCTTCGGGTAGGTAAGAATTTCTGAGAACACAAAATGCTCAAATTACAAAAGAAAAAACTGATAAACTGGATGTCATCAAAACTTAAATCTTCTGCTCTTCTAAAGATACCATTGAGAAAATGAAAAGGTAAACCAGAAGGGGAGAAAATGTTCACAGTACAGATGTCTAGTAAAGAACTTGTATCCAGAATATATTAAGAAATTCTTTAAAAAAAAAAAAAGGTATTTCAAACCTAACATAAAAAAGAAACTACTGACCAATCTAACTTGTGAATAAAGATATAAAAACCCAAAATAAAATATAAGCAGATAAAAAAAATTCTTACAGCTCAATAGTAAGACAAACAGCTCAATTAAAAAACGAGCAAAAGATATGAGCCTATGTTTCACATGCCAATAAGTACATAAGAGGATGTTCAGCACCTTTAATCATTGTGGAAATGCAAAGTAAAACCACAATGAGATACCATTATACACTCACTACTTACGTACCTACCAGTTGCCATCGAGTCGATTCTGACTCATGGTGACCCCATGTGTGTCAGAGCAGAACTGTGCTCCACAAGGTTTTCAATGGCTGCTTTTCTGGCAGTAGATTACTAGGCCTTTCTTCTGAGGCACCCCTGGGTGACACATGCTATGACACGGACGAACCTTGAAAACAGTATGCTAAGGGAAATATGTCTTACACAAAAGGGCAAATATTGTATAATCCCATTTATATGAAATGTCTAGAATTGGCAAATGCATAGAGACCAAAGTTCATTAGTGGTTATCAGAGGTGGAAGAGAGGGGGAAAGGGGGAAATCACTGCTTAGGGGGCACTGAGTTTCTGTTTGGGGTGATGGAAAAATCTGAAAATGGATAGTGGTGATGGTTGCATAACACGGTGAATGTAATTAATGTCACTGAATCGTATACCTGAAAACAGTTAAAATGGCAAACTTTTTGTTGTTATATATATTTTACCACATGAAAATTTTTTTTAAATACACAGATTCCCAGAATTCTCCTCAGACCTGGTGGACCAACATTTCCTGAGAAGAGGCTGAGAATATGAATTTTCCACCAGCAGCCCAGATGGTTCTTAAGATGAGACAAGTGAGGGCAATACTGCTTGAGTCCTCTCCACAGGGGCAGGAAAAGGAGGCCTCAGGACATAAAGTGGCTTGATGAAGGTCACAAGAAATAGTTTAGCAAGCAGCCCTGCTCACAGGAACAGGCAGATCATTTTTTGACATCAGCAGAACATGGCAGGGACATGTCAGGCTAGGGTAGAGGGGCAGAAGCGCCTGTGACAAGGCCTGCTCAGTCCACAGCAGTGTTTAGAGCAGGCTATAATAAAATGCAGTCAATAAATTATTTCCATTTAAGACAATAAGAGCCCAGTTTACATGAATAAATCACTTAAATATCCTCCTGTCTACATCTCAACCTGAATAAATGCTTCCCTGGGTCTGAGAGCTTAAACAGAACCATTTTCCAGGGCACCTTGCCCTTCTGCCACACCAAGCTACTTTCTGCTGCTAGCTGGAGCCAGGGTCTCCCTCGTCTCCTGGCCTGTGCACAAGCTGTGGCCCCACCCACGACGCCCTCCCCGCTGCAGTTACTCTCCACACCCCCCACCTCCCCCCAACACAAACACTTTGAGCATTGAAGGATGAGAGGCCCCTTCCTCTAGGAAGCTTTGCCTGCTCCATCCCAGGAGGGGCCTTCCTATGCGTTCCCGCAGCCCCTGGACCTCCTCATCACTGCAGTGACGACACTGTGTTATAATCGCCTGCTCCCAGGTCCGGCTCCACCAGTCCTTTTAGCTTGTTTCCCACTGTGTTCCCAGCACCCAGCACAGAGCTCGGCCCAGAGAGGCTCTCAGGAAGTACCTCTTGTCGGAAGGACCACAGACATCATTCCATCAGTGCATCTGTGAGACCTTAAGTCTGGCATCTTCTCCATCAGCCTCTACAGAAGAATTCTAGAGGAAACTACTAAATTCTGCCTTAGTTATCTAGTACTGCTATAACAGAAAAACCACCGGTAGGTAGCTTTAACGAACGGAAATTTATTTTCTCACAGTTTGGGAGGCTAGAAGTCTGAAAATTCAGGGCACCAGCTCTACAAGAAGGCTCTCTCTCTATCGCATCTGGGGGAAGGTCTTGTCTCTTTTCAGTTTCTGTTTCTTGGTTCCTTGGCAATCTTCATGTGGCCTGGCATCTTCCCCCATCTCTGCTTGCTTGCTTGCTTGCTTAATCTGTTCTTTTATATCTCAAAAGAGACTGATTTAAGACACACACTATACTAATACTGCCTCTTTAGCACAACAAAGAAAATCCATTCCCAAATGGGATTATAACTACAGGTTAGTTTATACAGGTATAAACTAAACCAAACCCGATGCCATCGAGTTGATTCTGACTCATAGCAACCCTATGAGACAGAGTAGAACTGCCCCATAGGGACTCCAACGCTATCAATCTTTATGGAAGCAGACTGTCACATCATTTTCCCATGGAGCAGCTGGTGGGTTCTAACCACTGACCTTTTGGTTCTCAGCTGAGCACTTAACCACTGCGCCACCAAGGCTCCTCTGACACAAAGAACTGACTGGTAAATGGCAGCTCTTTCCTTATAGATGGGATCAACTTCAGGAATGCTCTCAGCTGGCAGTAACAATGGCTTACCCCAAAACCAGTGACTCTTAACACTTGAGCTTGCATCAGAATCACCTTGAGGGCTTGTAAAAACAGATTCCTGGGCCCCACACCCAAAGATCTTGATTTAGTAGGGCTGGGATGGGCCCATGAATCTGCATTTCTAGTAAGTTCTCAGGTGATGATGATGATGTTATGCGATCCATGGAACACACTTGGGTAGCCCAGGCTTAAATGGTTTCAATCACAGAGACATTTGTGATCTCATTTATCAAGAGGTCTTCAGGAAGAGTGTTAAGGTTGTTTCCATGGTTGGAAGATGATAGACTCAAGATCCTTTCCACTCAGCCATCATCAGTGTGTCTCCTCTCATGACTGCAAAATGGCCGCCACAGGACCAGGCATCACATTCTCACAAGGGAGCATGCCAATTAAAATGAAGAGGGTAAGAGCCAAATCAGGGAGGAAGGGGCTCTCTCCTCATGCGCATTTCTCTTTGATGCCAGAAACACCCCCAGCGGTTCCCCTGAGGTCTCCTTGGTTGCTGCTGCGCCACCTGGCTACAAGGGAGGCCAGGAGAGTGGCTACATAGCAAAGGAGAATGGAACTTACAAGGATGACTGAGACTTGAAGTGACTCATAGCCTGGCCCCATTGTTGTCTAACCTCATACCTGAGCTTTGCAAGAAGCCAACAGCCTGCCCCATCACCCACTGCTACTGGCTGTCCCTCTGTGTGGGTGCCCAACTGTCAGGCAGTAAGAGTCTATCCCAAAATGAAGCCTGCACCGTTATACTGCTAAAAACGAATCTGGATCCACACACTAGCTATGCAACATAAGCATAAACAGCTCTCTCAGCCTCCTTTCCTCCTCTGTAAAATGAGGTTAGTTATGCCTTTGCCACAGGGTGGAGGTGAGAACTAAATAAAGAATGGGTTTGCTCACTTTTCATCCCTACCATGCAGAGCTCTTTGAAAGCTGGGGCAGTGTCGGATCCATCCCCCATCACACGCTTGGCACGTGTTAGGCACACGAGAAATGCTTGCTGAATGGACCAAGAGCCTCTTTTAAGCACATGTCCTTAGACTCTGTCAAGGCTGTTTCTAGAAACACCTTCTGGGGCTTTTCACACTAAAGGAGATGCTGCTGATATAGATGCTGGAAAAGAACAAGGATTAATACAGATAATAAGTAGAAAAGATTAGCTTCTGGAAAAACAGAGCAAAGAGTGTTATGGAGGGCAGGAGGGGGCTGTGATTCAGTCAGGCTCATGTTTAGACAGAATGTTCCACAGAAATTGCCACGGAGGACTGGCAGGTGCAGGTCAGCACACATCTAACCACTGTGCCCTCACCTGCAAAGCACACTGCAGGGACGGAAACCACACTTTGTCTCTCGTGCCCACCTTGACCACTGGGAGTGGCTGCCTGCAGCATCGTGTCAGAAGCCTATTGAGGCCATTTCCAGGTTGGATGAGAAAGGAGATGGTGAGGATGTGAGTCTGGCATGGGGCAGACGGGATAGTGTCAGCAGACATGTCCCACACATATTTCCCTCCCTAGACTAAACACTTGAGGGATGTTCATTTTGACCGAAAGAAATTCACTGGCCTAGTCTTTGTGCTTATTTGAAGATGCCACAAAGCAAACTCACCAGTCTTTTCCAGGCCTAGAATGACTACTCGGCAGCTCTGACTTGTGAAAGGCAATGTGCTAGGTGCTTTAGATGTACTTTTTCTAATCCTTATTAGGACCCCAAGAAGTAGGTGTTATTAATCCCATTTTGCTGATGGGAAATTGAAAGGGCTGAGGCTCTACCTGAAGATGCCTCTGGGAGATGCTCTAATGTTCAGCCGCTGTGCCATCCTCCTCAAGGGTCCGAAGGCTGAGCCCGCGCCAACTCAGTCGGCTCTTTGATTATCTAGAGCCAGGTTAAAAGTGGTACTCCCAGACTAAAATGGAGACAGGACTTATACCATCAGAGTGTTCACCATTTTGTTTTAAGAAATAAAACAAAACCCAAAACCTTCTCCCCAAACAGGAACTTGTTCTATCTCTCTCAATCAAAGTACACTTCAGAACACAAGGAAAGGCAAGACAGATCTTGTTCGAAGAGTATGCTGTGCGTCTCTCTCATGTGGCTCAGAAAATTCCACAGAAACAGCCTGCTGGTACTCGCTGCCTCCCAACAATATGGCGATATAATCGAATGGGAAGATATATATATATAGCAGGCCAGGATCACATGTGGATGGTTTTTTAACACCAAAACCAATTAGTAGATTCATTAAGTATGAACTTGACTAGCCTTTTTCATCGAGGTTATTTGTTTTGAGCAAGATGGTTTCCTCTGATTAAAGCTGCCAATGGCCAACAGAAAATGATAAAATGTTTTAATTTGCCCATAAGAAATGACAGTATCTATGATTCCTAGCAAGAATCTAAGAAGTTTAGCCAAATATGTCCTGTGTTGATATCTACAATCAACACACAGTGTTTTATGAAAAGTATTTAATAAAATGTACGGTTCTAGAGGGACAAGTAAAATGTGGATGCTACCCAATCTGCTTCCCCAGCATTAGCTCCCCAGCACCCCAGCATGGTTATATAACAAACTTTTGAGAGGCTTTGGCTAATTCCTCGCAGAACCTAACCTCACACCTTGTATACAGCAGAACCAAAAAAAAAAAAAAAAACAAAACACAAAACCCATTGTCGTTGAGTTGATTCTGACACATAGCGACCCTCCAGGACACAGAAGAACTGCCCCATAAGGTTTGCAAAGCTGCAATCTTTATAGAAGCAGACTACAACATCTTTCTCCCATGGAATGGCCAGTGGGGTTGAACTGCCGACCTTTCGGTGAGTAGCCAAGTGCTTAACCACTGTGTACTAGGGCTCCTGCTCTACCATTAGTGAATACTAAATCTTTTTTCTGTTAGAAAAGTGACAGAATTTACACATCTAGACACTGTCCATTTGTAAGGCTAGCATTTGATTACTGTCCTGCACTTGTTCATGTGGGCCTTGCCTTGAGCTCTCAGCTCAGCTCTTTCCAGACAGAGTCACTGGCCAATCCCAGAGTAGCTTCCAGCCCCCCACTGCCCAACTCGCCTAGTGGACCCCTGCAGCTCAGCCCGTGAAGAGTGCCGGCAAACAGTGATATAAAGAAGGCAGGTGTCTTAAAGGACGCTCCAGGGCTCAACAGTGGCTCTCTGTCCATCCCTGCTCTTTTGGATGAATTCTTGTAACTGTGCTGCAGTCACCAATCCATCCAGTTTGGGAGCTATTTAAGGAGGATTTACAGCTAACCTGCTAAGAAGAGAAGAAGAGTACAGGCATACCTCGCTGTATTGCGCTTTGCTGATATTACATTTTTTACAAATTGAAGGTTTGCGGCAACCCTGTGTCGAGCAAGACTATCGGTGCCATTTTTCCAACAGCATGTGCTCACTTTGTGTCTCTGCGTCACATTTTGTTAACTTTCACAGTATTTCAAACTTTTTCATTATTATTGTATCTGTTATGGTGATCTGTGATCAGTGATCTTTGATGTTACTATTGTAATTGCTTTGGGGCATCACGAATCGCACCCATATAAGACAGCTAACTTAACTGATAAATGTTGTATGTGTTCTGACTGCTCCATTGACCGGCCATTTCCTCCGTCTCTCTCCCTCTCCTTGGGCCTCCCTATTCCCCAAGACACAATGAAATTAGGCCAGTTAATAACCCTACAATGGCCTCTAAGTGTTCAAGTGAAAGAAAGAGTCACACGTCCTCACTTTAAATCCAAAGCTAGAAATGCTTAAGCTTAGTGAGGAAGGCATGCCAAAAGCCACGATAGGCTAAAAGCTAGGCATCTTAAGCCAAACAGCCAAGTTGTGAATGCAAGGGAAAAGTCTTGAAAGAAATAAAAGTGCTACTCCAGTGAAAACATGAATGATAAAAAAGGGAAACAGCCTTATTGCTGATATGGAGAAAGTTTTAGTGGTCTGGATAGAAGATCAAACGAGCCACAACATTCCCTTAAGCCAAAGCCTAAGCCAGAGCAAGGCCCTAACACTCTTCAGTTCTATGAAGGATGAGAGCAGTGAGGAGGCTGCAGAAAAAAAGTTTGAAGCTAGCAGAAGTTGGTTCATGAGGCTTAAGGAAAGAAGCCATCTCCATAACATAACAGTGCAAGGTGGAGCAGCAAGTACCGATGTAGAAGCTGCAGCAAGGTATCCAAAAGATCTAGCTAAGATAATTGATGAAGGTGGCTACA